AAAAAAAAAAAAATTATTAAGGCTAATATTTTTTTATTTAATATTACTAAAGTTAATTTACTATTAATTTAAAGTTAGCGCCTAAGCTTTAGCCTTAGGCTACTAAGGCTTGGTATATCTTATTATTATATTAGGCTATATAACTTAACTAGGTTATTAGTATTTAAGGTTTTAGCTATTAATTAAGTAAGGCTAGGGTAGGCCCTAAGTATAAGCTAGAGTAGGAACCTATGTGTAAAGTATTTAAACCTATATTTACTTTTTAATTAAAAATAGCTTAAGCATAGCTTAAAGGTTTATAAAAATAGCCTTAAGGCCAGCTTTCTTTAAAATCTCTAAGTAACTTTTTTAATATTATTTAACAGGGTTTAAAATACTCCATTCTTATTAATTAGATTCCTTTGTTAATATCTTTATTATTAGTAGAGATCTTTGAGACTTGTTGGTCTTACATTTTTATAAATACTTAAAAAGTGCTTAAAAAAAATAACTTATAATTTTATAAAATAAGTATTATATATTTTTTTTAGGCTGTGTTTAAGGTATTATTAATATTATTTTTAAAATAATAAATAAGTAATTAAAATATATTAAAAAGTAACTTAACTAGTTTTTAAAAACTTAAAAAATAATTAATATTTATAACTTTATTAAGCTAACCCATGGTTTATAATATTAGTAAAGTTTAATAATATTAAAATATTATAAAAAAATAAAAAAGGTTAAATACATGGTAAAAAATTTTTAGTATTTATAGGTTATATAACTACCAAGACTTAAAAATTATATAATAAAGGCTTATATAAGTGTTTAAAATAGCCCAGCTTACCTTAACCCTTACTTGAACATTCGACGTCACTCCGCCCGGATGTCGAGTGGTCAGTTCCGATGGACCCTCAGTCTAAAGCTCGCACTAACAGGAACCAGGTACTATGGTATGATTCTAATGCCAAGGCAGATAAAGGCCATCCCTAAGACCGTTCAAGCTCGCAATAGAAAGGGTTTGGTTGCAGTGCGATTCATTGCGTGAGTCAATGCCTATCTCATGCTTTATCCGAGTTATAGATCAGTAAGGCATGTCAAACCATCAAGTCCTATACAGACATCTGCATGCAGTAAAACAACCCAGTCATAACATAAACGCGCCACCTACTTCCCCTTCCTATCCTCCCCACCCTCCGCCTTCCTCTCCCTCCAACTCTCCTTAACCTCCTCCCACAGCCTCACCTCATCCCCCCTCAAATCCCCCGGGAAGAACGTCCCCAACAAACTCCGCCCAAGCTTCTCATACCTCCTCTCCAGCTCCAAAAGCGTCCCCATAACCTTCACCTCCCCCACAACCTCCACAAAATCCAGCGGCACCCCATAAGCCGCAGGGGTGCGCTTCCACCCGGCGACAAAAATATTCTGCAGCATCCCAATCGCCCCAACGGCGATTAAATACCAGCTTCCCCGATCAACGCCGGACGCCGTAATAAGCAGCGCGACCCACGCAACGCCCAGGATAATCGTCGCGACCTGCGCGAAGATCGTGATGGTCGGGTAATCGATCATGCTGAACCCCGTGGCCAGATCCTCGAGGTCTAGACCCACGCCCTCGGAGACGATGGCGATGGCGTGCTGGGCGCCGTTGCCGCGCGTCAGGACGAAGTTCTTCTTACTCCGATTATCCAGCCGTCGACACGCCCATTTCTCGACGCGCCATTGCGTTAGCGCGCCGGTGCCGTAGCACAGCAGTGTCGCGGCGCCCGTTATCATCAGCACGCCCCAGTCGCCGTCCAGGCCGGCGGGGATGCTCGCGATGCCGAGCTGGATGATTGTCACGATGAGTCCAGACCAGTAGAGGAGGTCTTTCCCCGGGACGCCGGCGGGGATCGTCTTGCTGGGTTTGTAGACTGATACGACCAGGCCGGCCTGACTTGGGCGGGGGACTTTTATGCCTGAGTCCGGGTAGTTCTCGGCCTCCTTTGCCTGGTCGAATTTCCAGCGGGCGTCGATGAGCGCCTGTGTCTTTTCGCGGATCGCGGCGTCCATCCAGTACTCGTAGTCGCGCATGATGCGGCCCAGCACCCAGCTGTTGTTGCCCCTCACATAGCCGTTTTTGCCGTTGATCAGGCTGCACCCTGTGTCGGCGTCCGGCATCAGGCGGTACTCGCCGAGCGCGGAGCATACGGCGGAGGTTGCGTAGGAGACCCATCCTGCGAGGACTCAACAGTCAGTTTAGGTGCTATGGGAGAGCTAGGTTGGAAGGGGATGTATGGGATGGGGGGTTGCGTACCGAATGAAAACGCAACAGGCGCAATGGCTCCCCCGACGAGCTGCGCAAGTGCCCTAGTAATAATATCCCCGCCGATGAGCAGGAGGATAGTGAATGCGTAGTTCGACGGGTTGGACCATTCTTCGCGGAAGCTGTCGGCTGTTGCGCCGGGGTCGAAGGCGCGGGATGCGAGGGTTGCGAGGGGCTGGAGGAGGTGCGGGGTGGGGGCCATGCTGTTGACCGGGAGTAACGGAGGTTGAGGGGTAGGGAGGGACAGAAGAGGAGTTAGAAGCTGGCTGTGATCAGACTCTTCCTCAGCTAAGATAGATCGCGTGGTCTGCCACTGCGTTGAAGAATCAGCATCATTGCTGAAGGTTGACAGCGAGGCTGACAGCTGAGGCGAGGGCTGGGCGGACAAAGTTGGGGAGGCTGGGCAATAGAGGCCCAAGCGATGGCAGATACAGATATCTTACCGCTAGTATGTAACATTACTATAACGTTCGTATCGCCTGCAGTGTCGCCCAGCCCTAGCCCTAAGTGGCTGGCTGGAGCGAAGTGCTGCCAGTGGCTGGCTGGCTGGCGTTTCCTGGCCAACAGCAGTGCAGCTGCGAAGTCTTCCTACAAAGAGAGAATACTCTAACAAGCTGAATAGCCCATTAAGTCACTGCAAAATTGAATCTGGGCTGACGCAAACAGTCCGGCCCCCAACCCTAACCCCGCCGGTCGGGAATAGCCTCAATCTACACAATCCTTGAATCAAAGTATCAGATAACCAACCACTCCGTCCTCCTCTTCAGCAGCGGCGCACGCACAGTATCAACCCACTCAAGCGGATGGTCCTGCACCCAAACAGTAGCAACACTCTTATGCTCCCCAACCTTAATCCCGCCCTTGCCGTTGAGCGACCATATCAGCAACACAACAGCCGGCACGCTCTTGCCAATCCTCGGGACCTCCGGGATAACAACCGCAAACGTAAAGTCCGTCTTCCACTGCACCCCGTTATCCCTCGGCAGCTGAACAACAAACCACCTCCCCTCGATGTCTTGTCCAGAGTCCGCAGCCGACGTACACTGGATCGCGCACCCGCGCTCAGCAGCCGCAAAGGACGAGCGCGACGTGCCCTGCGTGAACCGCACAATGAAGCCGTGGTAGTGCACGACCAGGCCCCGCGTGTGCGCTGGGTCGAAGGACGCCTCGTCTGAGTCTTCGGTCTCAGCAACGTACGAGATCTGCGCGGTGCGGAAGTTCAGCAGAGACCGCGGAGCCCAGTGGTACCCGCGCTCTTCCAGGCGCGGGTAGTTGTTGAAGATCACGCCTGTCTCGAAGCGGCCGAGGCTCACAAGAAAGGCCTTCATGCGCGCCTGTGCGGTCTTTTCGTCCGTGTCGGACTTGATTTTCACGAGGTCGTCCAGCGGCATTGAGATGATCGTTGCGAGGCAGAGGACCTCGTCGGCGAGTCGGGCTGTCTTTCGCTCGGACATGACGTTCGCCAGCGCCTGATACGTCATCCACTTGTCCCCCTCCGTCTGGGCCGTGCCCTTGATCAGTTCCCGCAGGGAGGTATATTGCTCAACGAGCCTCATGCTCGCGCCGTCCGGAAAACCCAAGTGGATTCCACGAGCCTGGAGCGAAGCATCGTAGTCGTGGAACCGCCTGCTCAGCTCGTTGATTTCCACGGCCTTATCCTTGAACTGGAACCAGAGCGCCTTGGGGAGGAACCCCTCCTGGTGCGTCCACAGCCTCTTGATCCAATTCGACTGGTAGATCCGCGTCATGAGATCGAGCGGTGCCGCATCGGACCGGACCTCCTGCAGCCAGTCGTCCAGCACCAGAACGGCCTTGGCCTCCGCGTAGATCCGCCGCATCGTCGTGATCGCCTTGTCCCTGAGATGCTTCCACTCCGCCCCCACGGGGATGCAGAGCGTGTCCATCCAGAACCCGACGCCGTCCGAGCCCGGCGGTCCGCGCATCGCCTTGCGCCCTTCCCAGCGGATCTCGCCGACAAGGCGCTGGATCCGGTCGAGCTGGCATTGTGGCAGGGCGTTGGCGCGCGGGTTGCCTTTCCCGTCTGCCCAGCTGTTCCTCACATAGCACGTTAGCAGCCGGTATACCATACAATCATTGGAAGAGAAAAACGTACACATGCGAAATGGCCACGTATTCCGGCCGCGGGTGCGCCCCATCCAGGTTAAACTGATACGAGGACAGCTCCATGGCCCCGGGCCTCCCATTCCATAGGGCAATGGGGATCATCGCGCCAGGCTTGCCAATAACCCTGGTAATAAACTCCGCCCAGCTCGTCGCGCTCTCACCACCCAAGTCCCACCCCCATTTGACGTCCTCGCGACATCGGTCGTCCTTAAAATGCCGGGTAACATACATATCCGCATCATAGTCGTACCGACAGTGCGCCCGAACGCACTTCGCATGGTGGTCCAGTTCCTGCGCCTCGAGACCGGGCGATGCAGCGAGGTAATAGTGTCCGTCAATGGACAACTGCTTTAGCGTCGTCGCCACATCGGCAACGCACCATTTCGCCAGCAGCCGCCTGGTCAGGATCGTCGAGCGCGCTGTAGCCGGCCAGGCCGCTGTCCCGGAGATCTCTGCCTTGCAGGCGTTGTATGCGGCGCGTCGGAGGGTCGACGCCATAACGATGAGCGTCGTCGCGATCTCGTCGCGCACTGGCCAGGGCCGCGGCTTGTCCTGTTGCAGCGGGAGGGGCTCATCGGGCCCAGGGCTGCAGAAGCGATCGAGGATACTCCCCGCACGCTCAAACATCGTATTCAGCGTATCCCAGTCTTTCTTCAACTGTCCTCGCGCCTTGATGCCCTTCTCCCACTGAATGAGCATCTCGGGTAACTTGCTCGTGTCGACGATCCGCGCCTTGCCATGAGACTCAGGTTTCAGGAAATCACTGACCCAGGCGCTGACGCCACCAAGCTTGAGAACGTCAATAGCGAGACCGAAGAAGAGCCATGTTTGGAAGAACTGTTCGACTTTCTGCGGGGAGCCTTTCGTGTGGAAGCCGTTCGGGTCAAGGTGGGCTTCTTTGGTGGTCTCGTCGCCCCCACGCAGCTGCGCCTCTGTCCACCCTCGCGATGAGGGGAAGGAGAGGAAGTCTGTCTGGGCAATGTCGAACCACTCGGACTCGGAGGCTTCGTAGGGAGCGACGATGAAGGGTTGTACGCCGGCAGGGAGGGGGAGGTGTTCCATTGTGAGAATTCGGTAGCCCTGGTTGTTCCTTAAGTGGCTGGGTCCGTGCGGATGGATCAGGGCTCGGGCTTGTTTTATTCATATCAGGCGCTGGGCCTTGTTTGCCTGTCCCGGCCATCGGGCTCCCCAAGATGAGGCTAGCTGAAGCTCAGCGGCCCGAGCAAGCGGGTGTGGTTGCACCGCAGCCAAAACTTTCCAATGAGAGAGCAATACCTACTCCGTACATCTGCAGGCGGCAGTATTACCGTCTGGTGTCGGTTTGGTGCGGTCGCGTTCTTTCTCCTCGATCCACGACCCTGGGACCGGCTCATCTCGAATGCTCAAGTCCGGTATAATAGACGTGAACCGCTAAGTCTACTGAGTATCTTCGTTCAAGTTTCGGGTGCGCTGCGTCATACATCTCCAAGATGGAAATAGATCATATGCAGACTTCTGACGGATGGTAGGATATACCAGTCACAAAAGGCTGGGTAGGTAACGAGGCCTCTAAATGCGAACTGGATCTTTCTGCTCAAGCCTATCACACTTTATTTTGCGTGGTAAAGCGGATCGAAATGAAGATGCTCAGTCGGCACAGACGCCAATGGTAGTCTTCCTGCCTCTAGGTTTCAAGAGTCCAGTACATCATTGATGAAGACTAGCGCGTCATCTAGTTATTGCGAGTGTCAGAATTCTAGACTGATCAAGTCATCAAGCAACCAACAACATCAATAATACTTCGTCGTGCTGAAATCGATACTCGTCTCGCCGATCCTCTGCCCGCGGCTAATGGCCTCGAATTTCAGCAGTCCTTCCTGAGCTCCGAATGTGATTTTGACCCGGTAGTTGACGTTGCGCACCCGTTCATTCCGTATGATCTTTGACTCGAACAAATTCAGGTCAACTTTAGACAGATCTACCACAATCTTGCCGACGCTATAGACACCTGTCCAAGAAGCTCAGCCACAGGTTTCACGTTTTACCATGAAGAGGACGAATTGGCTGACCTTTATGCTCGACCCGCACCGCCGCCAGGTCCTGATCGCAAGCGTAGAGTGGAATATTAGAAACCAAGCGCGAACCTGGATAGATGTTTCTTTGGACCTTGATATACTCGGTGTGTTCCTCTGCGTATTTCTGACCCTGTAACCGGGGAGGTCAGTCAAGGTCGATCCACCTGATTGATGAGGAAGATGCAAGGCGGAAGATAGAGGGTACTTTCTGAATGGCCCAGTTCATGACTCCGCGCACCCTTTTTATGTCGTTGTATTCATCCATGTAGGCATTGGCCTCGTCGTCGATCCCGGGTCGAAAGTTGATGCCTACCGTGAACCCGTAATGGCGCCGGCAGCGTTTGGTTGAGGATCGAATCCCGTCTAGCCCTCGCAGAGCGGCGCCTTGCACGATGGCTGCTTGTCTGATGCCTCGCCGTTACTAGTGCGTAAAATGATGGGTCGCACTCAACAGGGCTGGTTCTTACGGTAAGTCAGGCACGGTAATGGCGATTTTGCCGCCGAGTCCAAAGGACGACTTGAACGCGTTTCGAAGATACTCCGAGTCACCGAAGCCGCCAACGAGGATGATCCTCTAAGTTGGTAACCAGTGTCAGATGTTGAGTACGTACAAAGACTGAAAGGCAACTCACATTTATGGCATCTCTCCCAGCATCTTTGTTGGCATCCTCGATCTGCCTCTTTACCAGCTGAATAATCTGGTCCAATACGGGGTCAAAGATCTTGCGCATGTCGTCACTAGAAAGGCGAAGGTTAGCAGTCAGTAGTTAAGACGCGTCTCGGTGAAGACATCATAGTCACCTGTAAATAATCACCAGACGCTCTTCTTCATCAAAGTATTTGGGGTCTGGGGCATCCACCGTCATATTCAGTGGCAGTTCCCAACTGGCTTGTTCATCAGACACCCCAAAGTCTCTCTTCAGGGTCTCGAACTTCTTCATGAACTCGCTCCCAGGGCCCTTGCGCTTCATGGGCAGCTTGTCGAATGCTTCACCGAAGCGCTCAGACATGAGTCTGTAGAAGTTGCGGTCCACCGCTGTCGAGCCGCACTTGCCTCCTACACTCACAGTTAGAGTTTCCTTGGTGGGAAACCTTGGAAGACCTGAGAGGCCGCCGGCTCCAGTCAGCTGAGAACGTACCCATTCCTGTGCACAGCTCCTCGAACTTCAATGGCTCTATCTCGTTGACAAGGTATGTCGTAATGTCCTGCGTAGTTCGTCCATGTTAGCTGGTGCGCAAGATGCTCCTCGGCACCCGGTATACCATACCACAGTCCCACCGCCACAATCGCACACGAGCACGCCATCTCCAGCCTACACGACACCACTAGCTCTGTAACTACTTGTTTAGGACGTTGTCTTGATAACCTTGACTGCGCCGCCCAGCGTGCTAGTCGAACATCTCTTCAGCACCGCTATCGCAGCGGCCTCGTGTTCCCGTGATGAGGAAGATCTGATCAATCCGTCGGGCAAGGGTGCCCGCGAAGCCCGCTCTCCGTGTAGCTTTCTTGGTCGCGTCTTTTGCCCGATCCGACCAAATGGCTGGAACCGTGAACCAGAATTCCAGCGGGGTGACCTGCAGAGTTTCCTCCGTGATGCTCTTCCCGATCACTCTGAGGATATGTTGGTGCACTTCAGCGAGGTAGTCACCAGCGACTTCAACGGCATCCTTTTTCTCGGGAAGTTTCATAATGCCTATCTTTGAAGCCTCTTCCAGCGCCGAGTCATTATACTGTGACAAGGGTGTTCCCTGGTCGAGCAGCAACTTTGTCCACGAGTACGACGCCATCCCCGGTTCGACTTGGAAGCCCCATTGATCCTTGCTCAGGCGTGGGTTGTCGGAGGCATACGCGATTCGTGAAGGCGTCTTAAAGACCGTATCCGTGTCTTGAGAAGGACCGGGCCAGCTGTTTATGACCACGATCTCGCTGATGTCGGTGGCTTTGGAGCTGACGTAGCTGGCACCTTGACGGAATATTAGTCTCTAGATAATTAGAGAGATAGAGCCATTCACCTGTAAATGTTGTGCCATAGTCGACTCCCACGATTATATCGTGCTTGGTTCCCAGCGATAGCGCGCCAAAGCCTTTAAAGGGCGAATCCTGAGCCTTAAGGACCGGCTTTCCAAATGAGAACAATGGCTCCGTGGTTCCTGCAGGGGTAGATCCCTCGAGTTTGAACATCTTTTCGGACGTGATATGGACTATTGGTTGATTACAGATCTTCGTGAGCATTGTGGCCGGCGGGACTTCCAAGGTTTTTGTATGCCGCCAGCCTGACTCTGATCCCTGTTGATTTGAAACAATTGTGGCGCACTACGATACTAGAGCAAGACCGCCGAAATGCTAATGAGCGCCTTGAGCCACTTGTAACGCCGACTGTTCTTTCTCCTTATCTCTTGGAAGGAAATAAATCCTAGAGCTGCAACCTGCTGGCGGAATCGCCTCTTCCATCGACGAGAATTTCGAGCATCCGCATCGCAAAGCAAAATGATGATGGGAATTGGCAAAAAGGTATGATGAATTTGCATCAGGTTTTTGGCATGTCCCACAACTTACAAGATGCAGATTTTTCCTTGCAAGCGCGAGCGAGAGCCCGAGCGAGGTTCAACCTCAACTACGCGGCAGCATGCAACAACCACCTCCACGCCAACTGCACCGCATGTTGACGATGGACAAAGGCAAAGTTGATCGGAACAGTCTTCAGAGCACGAAGGGCGCTCAACCAACGGATCGCCATTCTCGAATTCCAAATCCAGGAAATGAGCGCTGAAAAGGAGAAGAGTGATAGGAAAATCCGTCGGCTGACAGGTACAATATACGAACAAGAGGATACCGCAAGAAAAGATGCTACCGAGTTGCACCAACAAGACGAAATCATCGAGCGTCTTCAAGAGGATCTCTCTAGGTTAGAGGGACAGCAAAGGCACCTGGAGGCCATGGTCATCGGGCAGCAAGAGGACGCACTCCAGTCACTGGTAACCAACAAATGGCACGCCCCCAAAGAAGATCGATATGTCAGGGACGAGCTCTCAAAGCTGAACGACAAGCTACGCCAATGGGCGAGGAATAACAGCATGGCCACATTCTCCGATACAGACAGCGTCGCGCTAAATAATAAGAACACGCTCGTGGAACTTCTCAGCGGCTATTGTGCTTGCAATAAATGGGCCACACTAATCAACAAAATCCCAGCGCCTAAGGACAGGATCCCAGCTCTTCTTGTGCAAGCCGCCCTAGCGAAGGATCTGTCTGAAAGGCTGTTCATAGACCCATTCTTTGCATTTGACGCCATTGAGCTCGACAAGTCGGTGCCAGGACCAGAGCAGATGCGTACCCTCCAAAGCGGCATGGCGAAAGTTCAAACACCCTGAAGTTCATTTAGGATGACGGTTGCTAACGAGGAACACTCACAGTCAGCGAGTCCACAGCCCATATCTGGCGTTCCCAGACGATCCGCAGCCTGTCCACCCCCAGCTCTAGCTCCGATGCAACATCGACTGACGTGGCCCGCGGGCAGCCGTTTCTCAACGCCCGACTCGATCCGCTGTGCCACAAGTTCGCGACCAACTTCCTTCGTGGCCCGGTCCGCTTCCTAATCCGCAGCGCAACTACCAATGATAGTGGCGATCGCGGCCTGGTATCCCTGTACAAGGGGGCAGCGCAGCTCGCACTAACCCTGTGGGGCCAGCGAGCGTTCATGACTTGTCGGACACTGTCCGAGCTGCCGCTGTTCGAAATCGCGAATGAGGGGATGGCTGCCCATCGATTGCACCACCTTGACGAAGATGATACGCGGTTGGATGGGAAGACGGGGCTTTTGTTGCTTCAACCGGCTGTTTTGGCGTGGGGGTCTGAGGATGCCGAGCATTGTGATCAGTATAAGGTGTGGGCACCGGCTGTGGTGTTGCTTGAGACTAAATAACTTGATTTGAATGATATTAATTCCGGCCAGTCTGGGGGGCAGGAGCGGAGCGCTTGATGGCGATGCAGATGTCTCCTGGGGGTTCCCTTAGCGGCTGCGATTGCTCGGTAACAAACTGGGATTTGGTAGGTGCTGCGTGTATTAAAAGCGCGGAAAGGTCATCCAATATCCATCTCGTGGTCTTCGCCCGAAGCGTCGTCCTCCTGCACTGTCTGTGCTGCACCCCCCTTCATCTCCATCTCGATCCGTACATACTCAAGTTCCTTTTCCGCCGAGAGCGTATCCGGATGATCAGGACCAAGCGTCTTACTCCGCAGACGCATACACTCCTCAAGCAACTCAATACTCTGCGCAAACTTCCCCATCTTGCGCCAGATAAGAGCGAGATTCCACATGCCTATCACAACGCGTCGATCGCCTTCTGGCAGGAGTCTCCTCTCTGCATCCAGGACTTCGATCTGCAGGCTCTCGGCCTCCTCGTCTCGACCCTGACGCATATAAAGGACGGCCAGATCGTTCATTCGCACCAGTGCTCTCAAGTTGTCCGGGCCGAGCTTGGAGCGCGAGATCCGCACCAGTTCCACGCGAAGGGACTCTGCCTCCTCCAGCTTGTTCTGCGCTTCTTTAGTGTCGGCAAGCCAGTCCATGGTTTGGAGGGTTTCCTGGTCTTCATCACCCTGCACTGAATGGTGGTAGTGAAATATTTCCTCGAGGAGTACCTCGGCCTCGTCGAATCTCTTCTGGCGGATATATAACCGGGCGAGGTCTGACGTGGTATCCATGGTGGTAGGGTGCTGCAACCCGAAAATTCTCTGAGCTTGATCGCTGAGACCAGTGAGCATTTCTTCTGCTTCGTTCATTTTTCCCTGTGCTGCCCAAAGGCGTGCGAGCTGACTTCGAGCCTGGAAGATGTCTGGATGATGTGGATTAAGTGCTGCCTCCAAGGCCGCTATATGCTGCCCTCTGAGCTCTTCTGCTTCTTCCCATCTGTGTTGATTCTCATATATCGATGCCAAGAGTCCCTTGGCTCTCGCAGTACGTGCGTCAGTGACACCAAACGTGGTAGTCAGCCTCTGCAGAACAACATTCACAATCTGCTCGGCCTGTATGTACTGCCCTTCCGATGTGTAAATATGTGCGAGGCTTTCCATGCTGGCGAGAGTGTCATAACCATTCTCCCCGTAAGTCTGTTCCGATCTAGTAACAACACTCTTCGTGATCTTCTGTGCTTTGGCGAATATGCCCTGAGATTGATAGATGTTGGCCAGAGATAAGTATAAAGTCTGCAGATATGAGTCGTCTAGTCCTGTTCTCTGGGCCCATTCCAATGCTTTGAGTGTCAGTCTCTCGGCGGACTCCCATTTTCTCTGGCAAACCATCGATTGCGCTAACCATGAAAGACAATAGATAGTGTCGTAATTGTCAAGGCCAAGACGGGCTTCTCTCGCTTCCAAAACTTCACGAATAAGGGATTCAGACTCGCGATATCGTCCTTCATAATGTGAGCAAATGGCGACCTTCCAGGCTAACTGCTCGCGATCGAGTGTTCTGGCTCGAAAGGGTCCATCCTCAAGTATACGTTGAGCGTGGGGTAAGTAGCTTCGTTCAATATCACGATCAGTCGAGAACTCCATAGGCATTACTGCGCTTAGCTGTCGGGCAGCTTTCTCGACCCAGTCATCTAGCATTCCATGGACCCTCAACCAGTTCCTCGTCGCTAGATAAACAAGCCGATGAAGATTGAAGAACTGCGTCTCGGTATCTCTGTTCTCGGTAATCAAGTGGTAGGCTTTCAGGACGCCGAGTGCGGATTGCTGTTTGACATTGGACTCGGCAGATGGGAGCAGGGATAGAGGTACCCTGGCGAGAGCAAGACAGGATATGAAATACAGGTATTCGATGGACAGTTCATTGAGCCGCTGAATCTGCTTAAAAGAGACAAGCCAAGTCATGGTAATTGGGTTTTTGATTTTGGCATATCCTTTATATTCGTATTGTAACTACAACAGCCCGGTTTTATTTATTCTTTAATTAATTGGTGGGCCCCACTAGCGCTGGGTATTACAGGTGTTAGTAGGTATTACTTCCGCACTTTATAACTTTTTATTTACCCTGGTTATTATGCTTTAAAAACCATGTTTTTTATATATAATACTTATTTATAGTTTTAGTAATTTTTTTTATAGTTCTTATGGTTGCCCTTTTTTTACTTTTATAACTATAAATATTTTTTTATATATTTATTATTTTAGGGGGCCTAGTTTATATAGGTTAAGGGTGCTATAAGTAATATTTTTATATAAATTAAGCTTATAAATTTACCTATTATTAAATAAATTTTAATTTTAAAAAGCTTTAATTCCTGGGCCCTGGCGTACTAGCCCTTATTTAAGTATTTTATTAATTTTTTTATTATTTTTATTATTTTTTTAAGCCTTTTATTAAGCTTTTTTTAAGCGCTTTTTTTAATTTTATTAAACTTTTTTTTTATTTTAAACTATAACACAAGTAACTCCCTTTATATACATGCTTTTAGCTTATTAATTTTTTTTTATATATATTATTATATTACCCCCTAAATATTATTTTTTTATTTTATTATATATTTTTTATATATTTAGGTTAGTGGTTTAATATTAATCTAGGCTAGGTTTATTATAAGTTATATTTTTAAGGCTTTAAAATTTATAAGTACTATTAATATTATTATTATTAATATTATTACAGGGTTTAGTAATAATATACTATTTATAATATATATTTTTAGCCGCCTGTTAGTATATATATATATATATAAATAGGGCATGTTATAATAATATATATACTTATTATAAATACTTTAATTTTTCTTTTTTACTTTTTACACCGCGTAATAATTTTGCCTGCTTTATTTTTATTTTATTTACTTAATAATTTTTAAGTTATTATTTTTTAATATACCTTGGCCTTGGCTTTTTATTAATACTTTATTTTATAATATTATATTTTTAATTTATTTTATTATACCTGTGTGTGGGTTAACCCTTTTTAAATATTTTTAATATAAAATAATTAAATTTTTTTTATACTTTTTTATTATTTACCCCGTGTATTTTATAAACAGCCTTAAATATTTATAAGTATAGCAGGTGGTTAATGCGTAAATAAAAATTTAGGTTAGGGTAATTAGTATATTTATATATATTTTAAAATAAATTATTTAGGTTTATAAGGTTTATATTATATTATTTAATAAATAAATTATTTAGGCTTTTATATTAAGTCCTGCTATTTATGTTTTTAGCTTTAGTAGGTTTTATAGTAAATAATAATAATAGGTTTTATAGGTATAAAAAGATAGGTTATATAGGTATAAAATTAATAGTTTTTATATTATATATTTTATTTTTTTAGTACTTTTTTATATTAGTTATTATAATTGGCCGCTCCTAGTTTTCTACCTTATTTAGTATGATTTTATTATTTATTTTATTTTTAAATATAGCTTTATTCCCTATTTATAATATTTTTTATTTTATAAATTTAGCTATTTTACCATGCCTTTTTACACTTTATTTAGTGTTTTATTTTTATTTATTTTTTTTATATTTTTAATTACTAGTATTATAGGCCATTTTCCTGCTTTTTTATTTTTTTATAAGTTTTATAAATTACTAACCCCTAAAAAGGGCTAAGTATACTATAATAATAATTATAACCCTAAAAGCTATAAACACCTTATTTATATAGCTAATCTTACTTTTATATACTTTTACTTAGTATATTTAATTTATTATTAATAGTTTTTATTAGCCTTTTTTAGCCCTAAATATTATTTTAAGTATAATTATTATTTTTTTAATTTACTAGCCTATGCTTCCTGTATTTACTTTATTTTTATTTTTTTTTATATTATTACTAACCCTAGTATTAAGCCTCCTAGCACCAGGTTTTTTAAAAGTAACTATTTTTAAGCTAACCTAGTTTATACTAGTATTTATATTATATAATAACCTTTTTTTTATTCCTTATAATTAACTACGCCTAATTAATTAACTAGGTATTATAAAGCGCTTTTATTAAGCCTAGTATAATTATTAAATAATTAATAGCTACTATGCTTATTATAAGCTATGCTAAAAATATAACTAGCTTTAAATAGCTACTACCTAAAAGTATTTTACTTATAAAAAAATCTTAAATCTAGTTAATTTACTAAATAAATATATTTTTTATTAAAAGTTCTTGCTAAATATACTAGCGCGGGCTTTAAAAAATATTTTAATTATAATTATTAGTTTTTTTAAGCATGGTACTTAAATATTATTAATTTTAGGTTATATAAAGGTTGCTTGCCTAAGTTATTATTTTTTATTTATAAAAAAAAGATTACATGGCGTTTAGGTGCTTTTTTTAATTATATTAATAAGTATTATAATTTTTAAAAATACTACATGGCTAGTAGTATAAACCTTTAAAATAATTTTAATTCCTACCCGGAGCCTAGCCTTAACTCCCTAATTTAATAAATTTTTAGTAAAAACTTCCTGGAGTATAATAAGTTTATATATAATATTTAATTAGTTAATAGCTCCCTTGCCTATACTAGTTTATTTATAAAATATTATACCCGTGCTAGTCTTAATAATATTAATTATATATTTTAAATATAAGGGTTTATTTATTATTATATAAGCCCCCTGGGTAATTTATAAAAAAGTAATAATATTATATTTATATAAATATACTAGCTTAATTTTATTAAGGCCCTTAAATATTATTTAAGGTGTAATATATTTTTAAATAAGGTTAAAAAAGCCCTAAAGCAAATTAATTAATTTATTCGCGCGTGTAACTTATAATATAATATTTTTTTTAAGCTAAGTTTATTTTTAAGTAAAATGCAGACCTTGGCTTTTTATAATTAATACTTTAAATATAATTTATAACTAATAATAAGCTAGGCAAGCGCTATAACCTCCCTTTTTAATTAAAAATATTTAAAATAAGTATTTTTATGCCTAATATTTTTATAATTTTTTTAAAGCATTAGCTTAACCCTGCTATTACTAATAATACTTATTTAATAAAAGCTAAATAAAATCTTATTCTTTTTTTAGGAGCTACTAAACCTATTTAATAATTTTTTATTAACTAAGTTATACCCTAAGATAAACCCCTATAATATTAGTATTTTTATTATTAAAAATAAGAATAATCCAGCACCTTAGCAGTTTTTTATTATAATTAATTTTAACTACCTACTTTATTTACTGCTTTACTACGTTTTTTTTTACGCCAAGGGTAGGATAGGCTACTCCTATAAATAAAAAATTTATACTTTAATATAAATTAAATAAAAATAAAATAAAAACTAAAACCAGGTAATAATAATTATATTTTACTAGTTTTATATTTTTACTTATAAAAAAAGTTTTAATATCTTGCACTAGGGTGGCATGCTTTTTTAATAATTTTTAATAAATATTTAGTTATATATAAAAAATTTATATTTATTTAGCATTTACTATAATTAAAAAACCTATTATTTTATTAATTATAGCAATGCTTTTTAAGCCTTAAATAAAGGTTATAATCTAGTGCAGGTTAATAAGTATATATTTTTTAAGCTTTAATTATAAGGGTAGTAATTAATATATATATAAGTTTTATTATAATTTTATAGCCCTGGTGCTGTAGTATAGCACCCTAACTTTATTTATTACTTTTATAGCTAATTTAGGGTGGGAGAAGGTTATTAAAAAGCTTATTTAAAATAATAATAATAACTTAATATAATACTAGCAGGACTAGCTAAATTTAGTATATTATATATTTTATATAAAAAATAAAATAATACTTTAGGAATTTAAAAATAGCATTTTTAGTAAGTATATTACTTATTACTTTATTATTAAGTTTTAAAAACAGGGTTTATTTTATTTTTATACCCTTTACTAGCTTAAGCAAAGGTTTACTATATAAGAAAATATTAATAACCTTATTTTAGTTAAAATCCTTAATTTAAATATTATTTTTAAAGGGGATTTTAATTCCAAGGCCCTGTTTAATATTATTAGGGGTAATATAATTTATAGGTTATATAAAAAGCTTAAGCTAAATATACCATGTTATTTTAATAATAATAAAAAGCCCTAAAAATATAATAAAGGCTTTTTTAAGCTATTTTATTTTAAGATAATCTTTTATAAAGGCTATTACCCTAAATACTAATAATATAATAATAGTGCCTATGTTAATATTCCTAACCTAAATAATAAAAAAAAATAATTTAAATAGGTAATAAATAGGTAGTGCCTTATTTTTCTTACCTTTTTTATTATTATTATGCGCATATTAACATAAAAATTATTTAAAATATTTTAGTTATTAAGTATATTTATAAGTATATTTACAAGGGATTTCTAAAGGCATGTATCTAGTTTAATATTACTAATAAAGTTACTTATTATATTAATAATTAATTTATTAGTGCCTTAGAGGCTATATAGCATTTAATAAAGTATTTTATTTACTTTTATTATTTACTAGTTAAGTAACTTAAAATCTATAATAAAAATTATAATAAATTTATTTTTAAAAAAAACTAAGTAAAAAAATAAATTAAAAAAAAGGGCAAGGTGTTAAAAACTATTAAATTAAAGGCTTTTTTTAAATATAATTAAGTAAACTTAAATAAAAAACCATGCCTGTATTATAAGATACTAAAAATATATATTTAAAATTTAAAGTATATATTAATACCTATTTTTACAGGCTTTATTAACTCTTTTATTTTACTTTTAGGGCCCAAGTATGGAAGCCATGTTAATAAAAGTTTTAAATTAATTAAATATTATATCTTAGTTTTTTTTATAAAAATAAATACTATTTTTAAATACTTTTTATAATTATTTATAATTTTATAAGTTTTTAAAATCTTCGCACGGTTAATAATTATATATTTAATACT